TCCTCCCTTCTCTTCCTTCATTCTTCCCTCCTTCTTCCTTCCTTCCCTCCCTTCTTCCCTCCCTCCCTTCATCATGGGGATGCTGCAACTGTTATACATGTGAAAAACGATCTTTAAGTCCTTTTTTTCAGCACCATTGTAACTTCAAACTGTCACTAGATGAACCGTTGTAAGTCAAGGACTACCTGTATTTTCAGTTTCATTGGTGGGTCGCAGGTGCTGTAAGTTTCCAGTGAGCTGGGCTGAATGACAGGCAGAATGGAGTGGGAGAGAAATCCTTGTAATAAATCGTTAATGCAATAAATCACGTCATAAGGACAGAAAGCTTGCCTTCATTGCACTTAACTAGGTTGAATATTATCTTTCTCCTAGGCAGGTGTTCCATTAAGGTTGAGGTCCTCCTGACATTGATGCTGTAATTGGACAAGCTTCCATTTCTGTCTTCGACCCCAGGAACAATTGGCATCCCTCTTTGGAGGGGCCAGAGGTCACTTGTCCATTGGAAGTTTCTCCATGATGTCTGCTATCCACGTGTTCAAGAAATGAGCAAAAGCTTCTCACTCTAATGAGGTTCTGATGATAGAACTCCATTCCCTCATTAAAGAAAAAAAAAACTACAAAATTATCCTTGATTTATCTAGCTTCACCTGCTTGTTTTGTCAGCCAAGAGTCCCACTTTATGCTTATGGGATAAACTGATACAAATAATCCTCAATTTACAGCCATTCATTTAGTGACCGAAGTTACAGCAGCACTGAAAAAAGTGACTTATGACCGTTTTTTTCATACTTAGGACTGTTGCAGCATTCCCATGGTCATGCAATCAAAGTTCAGATGCTTGGCAACTGACTCGTATTTATGACGGTTGCAGTGTCCTGGGGGGGGGGTGTCACGCGATGCCCTTTTGCGACCTTCTGACAAGCAAAGTCAATGGGAAAACCAGATTCACTTAACAACTATGTTGCTAACTTAACAACTGCAAGGATTGCAGTTGTTAAGGGGAAGTTAAGGGGAAGAAGCAAGAGCTTGTAGTACAGTGGACTAAAGCACTGTTATTAACAATTGCTGCTTGCAATTACTGCAAGTTCAAATCTCCCCAGGCTCAAGGTTGACTCAGCCTTCCATCCTTTCAAAGGTAGGTGAAATGAGGACCCAGATTGTGGGGGCAATAAACTGACTTTGTATAAAATATACAAAAGAATGAAGGCTATTGCTTAACGCATTGTAAGCCGCCCTGAGTCTCTGGAGAAGGGCGGCATATAAATTAAAGCAAAAAAAAAAAAAAAGGATTCACTTAACAGCTGTGGCAAGAAAGGCCATAAAACAGGGCAACCACTCAAAGAACCGTCTTGCTCAGCAGTGGAAATTTTGGACTCAGTTGTGGTCGTGGGGACCGCCTCTAGTTACCTTGTATTATTCATGTTGTCTTTAAGGAGGGTGCTCCAACACTAGAGGTTTTGAGATTGGACAACAATTTGCCTGAAATGGTATAGGATCTCCTGCCTGAGCAGGGGGCTGGACTAGAAGACCTCCAAAGTCCCTTTCAAATTTGTTCTTCTAATCTATTCTGTTCTGTTCCATTCCATTCCCATTTCCCAGGTCCCTTCCAACTCTGCTGTTATTCTTCTGTTATTTTGTTATTCTGTTTCTCTATTATTTTTCTGTTTTTCTTCTGTTATTCTGTTAACACTGTTATTCTGTTGTTCTTCTATTTTGTTCATCTGTTAACTTTATTCTTCTTCTGTTCTTCTGTTACTCTGTTAACATGCCACTCCATGGCACCAAAGTGCCCCTAGACACTTCACTCAGGGCCCAACAAACTCCTGACCTTATTCGAAGACTGGCCCTACATATCTACCGCACAATGTGGAAGTGGACTCTCTCACAAAAGCCATCTAGAGTACTCCCTTGGAGAGATAGGTGGCAAATGAATTGAACAATAAATAAAATTAAAAATATGCCAAACCCTAAAAGCTTGTGGTCTCATTTTAAGGAATGAAGAGTGGGAAATATAAGGTTGCAGCACAGACTTGTCAACTTTCAACCTTAATAAATTCAAGGAAATGCAAGGTACCTGGTGCACCTGAGGGCAGGGGAAGAAGCAACGGATGGAAACTCATCAAGGAGAGAAGCAACCTAGAACTAAGGAGGAGTTTCCTGACAGTGAGAACGATTAAATCAGTGGAACAGCTTGTTTCCAGAAGGTGGTCCATCACTGGAGGTCTTTAAGAAGAGATTGGACAACCATTTGTCCGGAATAAGGAAGCAGAGGGAACAACAAAATCTGTCCCAAGTTTCCTATTGTTATTTCTTTAACAGCAGCAAAGAACTAAGCACCATTCTGTTGAAAGCTTAACTTTGCACTAGCTATATTTCTATTTATGTTTGTCATGCGCCCAATTATTCTTCCTTAAAAGTAATTCTCAAACTTCCATCCTGTGAACCTCCAGTTAAAAGATGCCCATCCTTTCAACTAAAACCAGGGTGTGGTTGAACTTTGGTGCAGTTTGACCTGTCAATTGCCTTTGTATTGAGTCAATTTAATTTTTTCCCCCTAAGGGGTGAAAATGTCAGACCAGGCATCTGGAGATTCAGCCCAATCAGCTTCCAATTGAAGCTTTGTAAAGCCCTAAAAATCAAACCTTTCCATTTTTATCTGCAAAGAATGAGGATTACGGTATCTCTTTAAGGAAATACCCCCTAGTTGTGACCCTGACTTGGGAAGAATCATTCAAGTCTCATAAAGGTCTACCCCACTACTGTATAAATTTTCTTCTATTCAGGGGAAAAGGGGGGAGGTGATCCTTTCCCCCCACCCCTGAATGGAAGAGAATTTATATGACTGACAGTGTGGTGTGCAAAATGATCATATGTGCACATTATTTATTAAAATATCTCTTGTTGAGTTCTCAGCTTTGCAAAAAAAAGAAATTCAATGTACAGAGTATTATAGGTCAAAATGCAAATTCATACCATCCACCACACTAATAAACAGTTTTTCCTCCTATTGAGATAGTGAGGTTTTGAAATTTAAATATTTTTTTAAGTCACATTAACCAGATGTCAAAGAAGGAAATACGAGGCATTCAGGCCTCTTGCATAAATTGAGATACCAGGAAAACCTTAAATATTAGATGGGATTAATGGTTTTAAGGAAAGAGTCTCGCTTATCAATTTAAGAGTAAGAAGATAAAATGCAATTGCTTGAATCCATAAATATGGAAGCCATCTAAATTATACTTTCTAACAGACATATTCATTTTTTTTTCCAGGCTCCAAAATAGACTGCTTCCCCAACCATCTCTCTAATGTAACTGGAGGACGCTTTGTATAATAAATGATATGCTTGATTTGGAGACACGGAAACATTAATGTGCAATTCAAGTGTTATTTCCGTGGTGTCAAAAGGATTTTTTGCATATATTCCTCCCAGAATTTATTCTGTTACCTTTTCAAAATGGGATTTAAAATAATTGAACGCCGAGGACGGGGAAACTGGCACAAATTGTGTAGCCAAAATAAATATTGCATTTAATAAATTGAACAATTGGGATTTCTCCCCCCACAAGGTGAATCTTCTAAAAATGCTGGTCAGGGAACTTCCTCTTGCAAATGTTTTCTCCCGAGAGAGAAAGATGAACTTTTCACATACATATAGCTAGTCCTCGACTTAGAACCACAATTGAGCCCCAAATTTCTATTGCTAATTGAGACGATTGTTAAATGAATTTCTCCCCATTTTATGATCTTTCTTGCCCTAGTTGTTAAGTGAATCACTGCAGTTATTATGATTGTGAAGTGAATTTGGCCACGCAAAAGGGGATCATGTGGCATCCCCCAAGACACTAAACCAGGGGTGAAATCCAGCAGGTTCTGACAGGTTCTGGAGAACTGATAGCAGAAATTTTGAGTAGTTTGGAGAACTGGCAAATGCCACCTCTGGCTGGCCCCAGAGTGGGGTGGGAATGGAAATTTTGAAATATCCTTCCCCTGGAGTAGGGTGGGGATGGAGATTTTGCAGTATCCTTCCCCCAGAAGTGGGGAGGGAATGGGGATTTTGCAGTATCCTTCCCCTGCCATGCCCACCAAGCCACGCCCACCAAGCCATGCCACACCCACCAAGCCATGCCCACAGAACCAGTAGTAAAAAAAATTGAATTCCACCACTGCACTAAACCAGCATAAATATGAGCTAGTTGTCAAATGTCTAAATTTTGATCACATGACCTGGGGATGCTACAATGGTCGTAAATGTGAAAAATGGTCAAGTTACTTTTTTTCAGTGGTTCGAACGGTCACTAAATGAAATGTTGTAAGTCGAGGACTTACATTGCAGAATTTTATGTTCATGTTTGCTCTTAAAAGGAAAGCAATCTGTGGAAGCACATTAACCATGCAAAGATACATAGTCCTTGACTTATAACTATTCTTTTAATGACCATTCAAAGTTACAACAGCACTGAAAAAATGAGTTCTGACCAGTTTTCACACTTATGACTGTTGCAGCAGCTCCATAGTCACATGATCAAAATTCTGACAACCAACTCATATTTATGATGGTGGCAGCAGCCCAGGGTCATGTGATCCTCTTTTGCGACTTTCTGACAAGCAAAGTCAATGGGGAAGCCAGATTCACTTAACAACCAGGTTACTAACATATTAACTGCAGTGATCCACTTAACAACGGTGGCAAGAAAAGTCGTAAAATGGGGCAAAACTCACTTAACAAATGTTTCACTTAACAATAGAAATTTGGAGCTCAAAAAGTCGAGAACTACAGATATTAGAAAACAAACATCAAAATAACGAAGCACTGGAAACAAATAAATGAGAAAATAGGAAAACAGCAAAAGAAAAAAGAGAAAAAAAAGATTATAGAGGAGAAAAGATTAAAAAAGGCTTTTTGCTTCCAAAGACTTTGTTCCTGGCGTTGTTTCTTGATTTTCCTGGCATGCTTTTAAAATTATGTATATCCTCTTCTTTCTGAAAAAGGTACATACCTCTTTTTTTTCCCTTTCTGTTCAATCGTGGTCAATTCTTAGAGGGTCCCTGGAGAAGTCCTGCAGTTTTCTTGGCAAGATTTTTCAGAAGTGGTTTGCCATTGCCTCCTTTTGGGGGCTGAGAAAAAGTAGCTGGCCCAAGGTCACCTATATGACTTTGTACTTGAGAAGGGATTAGAACTCAGTCTCATCTAGCCTGATGCCTTAACTATAGGTTATCCTCAACACACAATGCTGTGTGTGACCAGCCATACGCTAAATAAATAAATAAACCTCAACTCACAGCAGTTCACTTAGTGAACAAGTAATCCTCAATTTACAGCCATTCATTTAGTGACCGGTTATAGCAGCACTGAAAAAAGTGACTTATGACCGTTTTTCACACTTAGGACTGTTGCAGCATTCCCTTTGATCACGTGATAAAAGTTTGGATGACTCGTATTTATAACAGCTGCAGTGTCCCGGGGTCACACAATACCCTTTGCGACCTTCTGACAAGCAAAGTCAATGGGAAAGCCAAATTCACTTAACAAATGTGCGACTAACTTTCCAACTGCAGTGATTCACTTAACAAATGTGGCAAGAAATTTTGTAAAAAAAAAAAAAGATTCAAAGCTCACTTAACAACTGTCTTGCTTAGCAACGGAAGAGTTGGGCTCCATTATGGTCATAAGTCGAGGACTACCTGTAATGTGTTTAAAGGGGAGGGGGCTTCAGTTCAGTAGTGGGTTTCACTTACCTTCGCTACCGGTTCAAAACTGTGAGTGCACCCATGTGGCACTTCTGCACATGCGCAGTGTCCGTGATGATATCCGGGCGAATGGGCGGAGCCTCTCACCGCCGCCACTAGTGGTTCGCCTGAACCGGGGCAAACCAGTAGAAACCCACCACTGCTTCAGTTGCAGAGTTGAGGCCCCCATCTTCATGTCTTGACCTCTTGTCCCATCAGGATTCAGTGCAAATCACGAACTTCCCTTTGGTTGCAGTCCATCCTCTCCCTAAACTGTGGACATCAAGTACCATAATCCTCAGTCTGTCTGCAGGGGGCACTGTGGGAAACGAGACTAAATATATCTACAGGATGTTAAGATCTGGAGCACTGCATGCAAGGAAATACAAGGCAGCCCTGGCATCTCCAAGGGAGATAGATGATTCTCAACTGTTTTTTCCCGAATGCCATCACTCTGCTAAACAAATAATTCCCTCAACACTGTCAAACTATTCACTAAGTCTGCACTACTATTAATCTTCTCATCGTTCCCATCACCCATCTCCTCCCACTTATGACTGTATAACTGTAACTTTGTTGCTTGTATCCTTACAATTTATATTGATATCGTTTCCTGATTGCTTATTTGTACCCTATGACTATCATTAAACGTTGTACCTTATGATTCTTGACGAATGTATCTTTTCTTTTATGTACACTGAGAGCATATGCATCAAAGACAAATTCCTTGTGTGTCCAATCACACTTGGCCAATAAAGAATTCTATTCTATTCTATTCTATTCTATTCTATTCTATTCTATTCTATTCTATTCTGTAATGTGTCTGCGCAGGTAGTCCTCAGGTCACAACCATCCATTTAGTGACTGTCACAACAACACGGAAAAAGTGTCTGGAAATTTGGGGCTCAATTGTGTTCTTGTCAAGTTGTAGTATGTTGTCTATACAGGTAAGTTCATTTAGTGACCATTCACTGACGACCACAATCGAGCCCAGCATTTCTGTTGCTAAGCGAGACATTTGTTAAGTGAGTTTTGCCCCATTTTATGACCTCTCTTGCCACAGTTGTTAAGCAAATCACTGCAATTTTTAAGTTCGTCACACGGTTGGTAAATTAATCTCGCTTCCCCGTTGACTTTGCTCCTCAGAAGGTCGCAAAAGGGGATCAGATGACCCTGGGAGGCCGCGGGCCGTCATAAATGTGAGTCAGTTCCCCAGCATTTGAATTTTGATCACATGGTTGTGGTGGGGAAATGAGGCGGCGGTCGTTAAAGTGTGAAAAACGGTCATATTAAGTCACCTCTTTCAGTGTCCTTGTAATTTTGAACGGGCCCCTTACAACAAACTGCTGTAAATCAAGGACTACCACCTGTACGAAGGCCACCCGGGGGTGTGGGGATGATGGGCTTTGTCGTCCCTCCCTCCCTCCCTCCCTCCTCACGAGGCGCGAGCCCAACGGCCCCCACGCCCCAGGCGCGCGCGCGCCACAGAATCTTCCCCGCGAGGCCCCGCCTCTTTATCCATCCACGCGCGTGCGCGCTCCCTCGCGCGCGCGCTCACCCCTTTGAAGAAGGAAAAAAAAGGGGGGGGGCACGCGGCCCCTTCCCTTAACGCTTTCTAACGGTCGCCAGGGCGCGCGAGGCGAGGAAGGGGAGCGCGCATGCTCCTCTTTTTTCTCCTCCTCCTCCTCCTCCGCAGGGCTTTGGCCACGCCTCCCCTGTCTCTGGTCCGTCTCCTCCTTTCGGCGAGAGAGAGAGAGGGGGGGGGGGGAGAGAAAAAGGGGGGGGGGGGGGGGGGGGAAGGGAGACAAAAAAAAAAAAAAAAAGGCAGAGAGAGAGAGAGAGAGAGAGAGAGAGAGAAGCACACCCAACCCAGCCCCGCGTTTCCCGTCGTGCTTTGCGGGGCCCTTGGCACTGACGTGGCCGCCGGGAGCCGCCATCTTGTGCGCAGTGAGGGAGGCTGTGAGGGAGGCGGAAGGCGAAGGCCAGAAGCAGGTGAGGCACCCGGCGGGACCGGAGAGGACGACGACGGAGGAGACTCCCCGCAGCCAGGCACCCCCGCTACGTCGCCCGGTAAGCAGCCCACCCCTCACGAAGTCATGGCGGCGGCCCGGCCGTGGTCCGAACCGACCTTTCTTTCGCCAACGGTCCGAGCTGAGGCGGCCGGGCCTAGCTCGGGGCCGGGCGGGGCAGCGTCCCCCCGACTCCCGCTTTTCTCCCGACCGAGCTGTGAGGCGCTTTAACTCCTTTGACCTTCCCCGATGTCCCCCACCATAGACGGGGGGAGGGGGCAGCGGGGTACCACCATTCCCCTCATCCCCAGCCCCTCAAGAAGGGGACTGTAAGTCAGAGGGCGAGAAGGCGGCCCTCTCTCCTCGTTAGACCTCGGATGGTTTGCCCTGCTGTGGGGTTAGCGGGGTGGGTGTCAATCCTTCCACCACCACTCCGGTCCTGGGTTGTACTTGGCCTGGCTGAGTAGCCTCCATGAAACACGGGGGGGAAGGCAGGGTGGCCACCGAGGCTGGATGATGGGTTTTGGGGTAGGGTGGAAGGGATTGGGAGAAAGATGAACGGGTTTGGAGTGGATGATGGGGTTTGGGGAGGATGGTGGAGTCTGGGGGGTGGATGATGGGATTGCCTGCGTGAATGATCGGTTTGAGAAGAGGATGAAAGGATTTGGGAGCGGAGGATGGGGTTCAGAGAAGCAGGATGGGGTTGGGAGCGGGATGAAAGGGTTTGGTGTGGATTATGGGGTTTGGGGTTGGATGATGTTATTTGGGGGTGGAGGATGGGATTGCCTGCGTGAATGATCAGGTTGGGAGGAGGATGAAAGGATTTTGGAGTGGAGGATCGGGTTGGGGGGGGTGTCTTTTTTCTTCCCTCTGCTGGAATTTGGCCCCAAAGACACGAGATGGGTGGGGATTTGGGATCCCTTAGTCACTTGCTGGTGACTTCATCAGCAGGACAAACAGTTGCGCAAGGCCAGGGAGTTTCAAGTACATGCATTACCGTGGGGAAGACTCTCTTCCTCTTTATTAGTTGAGGAAATCCGACTCAAAAGGTCTGCAATGACAGGCCTGGACAAGAGCCTTAATCCATTTGGCCAAGGTGGTGTGAAGGATGTTGGCCCTTGGGTTGGGCTAGATGACCTCCAAGGTCCCTTCCAGCCCTAGGATTTGGGAGGGAGGGTCAGATATTAAGCCATGACAGAAATACGAATCACCATTAGATTATTGTACAAGATCTTAGCTATGTCTTTCTATGTCTTCCTTAAGCTTGTTAGGCAAACAACCATGAAATGGGAAGGGAGGGTAGAGGGAAGGAAAGAAGGAGAAAGAGGGGACGGAAGGAAAGGAGAAACGGAAGAAAGGAAGGGGAAAATAGGAAGAAAGGGAAGGAAGGAAGGATACGAGAAAGAAGAGCAGGGGAAAGAAGGGTTGGAGGAAGAAAGGAGTGGAAGCTGGTCAGAGGGAGATGCAACCTAAAAATGAGGAGAAATTCCCTGGCAGGACTATGAAGCAGTGGAACAACTTCTCTCCCGGAATTGTGGATGTTCCATCTCTGGACATTTTCAAGAAAAGATCGGACAACCATTTGAACACGATGGCATGAGTTCTTCTGTCTTGAGCAGAGGGTTGAACTAGATGACCTCCAAGATCCCTTCTAGGCTTATGCTTCTCAAAGCTGTTCTCCTAGCCATTTCCATGGTTGTAAACTGGATCTCTATCTTTGCCATGCAGGCAACTACAGTACAATATAATTCTAATCATCAAAGCCATCTCAGGACAACCTAATTTGTTGCATAAGTATCTTTTTCCTGAAATACCAGGAAATGTCAGGCTGGATTGATATTGCTAGTTTCTGCTGATCAGCCAGATGCACTCCAGTGGAGAAAGACCTCTTTGATTAATTTTTTTTTAAAGGAAATATGTTAAATAGCTTTCCATGTTGCCAATATCTGGTAATGACATTCCCCTCATAAATATTTGGGATAATGAGAGGGCAGTTGTTTTAAACATTAATCTTTGTATTTAAGAACCAGTTTTTGCAATAAAAACAATGTCAAGGGGAATGCCATGGCTAAATTTCTTTTTTTTCTTAGTGAATTCTAACATATATTTTCTGATTTTTAACTTATTTGTTTTTCTGTGATACAGTTCACCAGCCTATCTTAAATTTTGGCTAGTTTAAGGTTTTCATCTTTATCTTTGTGACATGGAGAAATATAAACAAGATGCAGAAACTAATATCGATTCAGAAGCAAATATCTCAGTTACTCAGCTTCACTTTCCCCCACCCCCTTTATTTTCCAGCGTAGATTTTTCCTTGTTTGTTAATTCATCAGAAATTTTTGAAAGTTACTGTCCTTCACAAAGTTCTTGCAACTCTATACGATCTTTGCCATCATCTACACGTTTGAAACATTTGGAGATTTCTTTAACAATCCTGGCAATCTCTTGTGTAGCTTTCCTTAAAGAGTGTGCATAAGGCGAGTACTTTTCCTCATAGGTGAGAGATAAAAGATAGTTCAGGTAGTCCTCGATCACCATTGAAACCAAGATTTCCATTGCTAACTAAGGCAATTGTGCCTGGTTTTATGATCTTTTTTGCCACAATCGTTAAATGAACCATTGCAGTTGTTAAATGAGTCACACAGTTGTTAAGCAAATCTGCTGATTCCTCATTGACTTTGCTTGTCAGAAGCCAGTTAGGAAGGTCACATGATGGTAGGACTCTGCAGCTATTGGAAATCTGGTTTGCCAACCACTCAGTTCTTTGAAAGATTGCTAAACAAATGGTTGTCAGTCAATGGGTACCTTTATTATACTGCTACCATACCGGTAATCCTCGACTTAACAACAGTTCATTTAGAATACTTGCAACTATTGCAGTATCCCCATGGTGATGTGATCAAAATTGGGACGGTTGGCAACTGGCCTTTCTGACAGTTGCATCGTCCTGGGATCACATGATCCGCTTTTTCAATTTTCTGTCAAGCAAAGTGTCAAGGTTCCAAGTAATACATCCCAGTTCAATAAGAACTGAGAGGCAAGCAGGTTTCTCAAAGAACATTTTATTAGGACATATCAAATTGGCATATTCCTGGTGGAAAATTGGCTCTAAATTGTCGCTGGTTCCCCCCCCCCCCCCAATTAAAAGTAAAACTTTTATCACTTCCCCCAGAGTCTCAGTCACATGATCCAATCAGCATAAAGCACAGTTGCTAGATGACCTCAATCTCCACCCTGCGGACACCTGCACAATTGTCCGTGATTCCCAGGAAAAATAAGTTTATTTTGACTACAACCCCCATCCCCTCCCTGGCTCCTTCGCTCCAGGCTGAAACAGTGAGAAAAGAAACCTCCTTAGAGACTACAAAAAAGAAAAATGACCACAGTACAGCCAACTTCATGGTTGAAACAAAGTCCAATGGGGGAAGCCAGATTCACTTATCCGTGTTAATAGCTTAACAGATGTAGTGATTCACTTAAGAACTGTGGCAAGAAAGATCATAATATGAACCAAAACTCACTTAACAACTGTCTTGCTTAACAACAGAAATTTTGAGCTCTACTGTGGTCGTAACTCAACTATCTATAATAAATTTGGGATGTGCAATTTGGCACACCTTGCAGGTAATTTGGATTGCATTTCCTACAAATTTCAGCTACAATGAAAATCAAAATATTTGAGCTTTTTATTGCATTTCCTTTTCTTATTTGCTTCCGATCAGCTGCTTTAGATGCATCTTCTAATCATCTCTTAGAAGCATTACATGATTTGTAATCATGTGCCCATGATTACAAATAGCACATAGTCTGGCTTGAATTGCTTGGCCTGATATGTTTGGTGATTTAGTGTGTAATTGTCTGGAACAAGCTTGAGGAACAATTATGTTAATTCAGCTATGTCTGGCATTTTTTTTGCAATCTCCATATTCATACGGCATTTATATCTTCCTTTGAAATTAAATTAGCAAACCATAAACCGTCCTATTATCCTGGCTGGGATCACTTCACAGTTGCCATAATGTGTTAGCCGCAATGGGCAACTTCATCTGGGAGGAACAGGTTCCTAAACATGCAGTACAATGGAGTATTGTCTTAAATCAGGAGGATTGCTCCAGGTTATAAAAGCAAGGCCCTTGTTCAGAGAGTCATCAACTACAATTGAGCCCAAAATTTCTATGGCTATATGAGACAATTATTAAGTAAGTTTGAGCCCATATTATGACCTTTCTTGCCATCGTTAAGTGAATCATTGCAATTGTTAAATTAGTAAGACAGTTGTTAAGTGAGTCTGACTCCCCCATTGACTTTGCTCATCAGAAGGTCGCAAAAGGGGATCACATGACCCAGGGATATTGCAACCATCACAAATAAAAGTCAGTGCCAGGTGTCTAAATTTTAATCACGTGACCATGGGGATGCTGCAATGGTGTAAGTATGAAAAACGGTCATAAGCCACTATTTTCAGTGCCATTGTAATTTTGAACAGTCACTAAATGAATTGTAAGACAAGGACTACTTGTATTTCCTTTTCGTGCTCCTAGCTTCAAGCAGGTTGGAAGATTTTGGGTGCTTTGAGTCTGGAAAACCTATTGTACCGAAGTTGGATCTGTTTTCTACACCTACCCCTTCCAACTCTGAACTGCTAGAGACCAGTGTTTAGTTTTCATCCATCCCTGTTCCTGCTTCACTTAAAAGACTTCTCTTTGACATACTGCTTTTAGGAGACGAAACAAGGTGTGATGTCTTCCTGGAGTACAGGTAGTGCTCGACTTAAAATTGTTTGTTTAGTAACAGTTTGAAGTTACAACAGCGCAGAAAAAAGTGACCTATGAATCTTTTTCACACAATGGTTGCAACATCTCCATGGTCAAAATTCAGACTCTTTTGACAACTGGTTCGTATTTATGACGGTTGCAGCATCCCGGGGTCATGTGATCCCCTTTGCAACCTTCCAACAAGCAAAGCCAACAGAGAAGCGAGGTTCACTTAAGAACTGCAGTGATCCACTTAACTCTGGCAAGAAAGATTATATAATCAGGCAAAACTAACTTAACTGTCTCA